GCTTTGCAGACGAGAAAACAGAGGCTCAGGTGTGGGGAAGCAACACACCCCAAATCGCCCAGAAACTCTGCGGGAAGCAGAGGAAGGCCTGAAGCCTCTCGGTTCCTACTACACGGCCCAGTCAACCTGCTGAGTGCACACCTGTTCCAGGTAGGCTCAGGTTGGCAGAGGTGAAGTCTGCAGGAAGGAGTCCGAAGACCGAGAGACGTCTCCCGCTAGACATCTCCAGCCCTCTTTGCGGATATAAGAAACCACTTTAACTGAAGGCAAGGTAGTTTGACATCCTCAAAACACTGGACCTAAATTCACACTGAAAAAATAAATGGCTGATTCTGGTTTGTTCTGTTTTCCAAAGAGCAGGCCTGGACCAGGTAGTTTGAGAAGCTCCCGTCCCTCACCATCTTGGCTGATGGCAACATGGCTGCTCCCATCAAAGTAGCACAATGGAAGCCACCAAAAGCATGCCCTTAGCTACGATTTCCCACCCCAAGGCCTCTCTGCTGTGCATTAGCCTTGGGCTTGTACCGCAGACACGTCCTTACTCAGACATCAGCACCCTTCATTGTAATCAATGAAAAGGGGCCTGGCCCACTAGAGGCCCACCAGGGAATCTGCACTGTCAGACAGCAGGGCCCTGGTGGTGCCTCGCTGCACTCAGCACACAGCAGAAGGAGGCATTCAGAAGCACACGGGTATTGATAGGCATGCGGGGCAAACCACAGCAGCGGGAGGGTCCAACCGTACCATGCTGTTTGTAGATAGGGGGTTTCCTATAGATGTTGTCTTTTACGCCAGTGTCTGGGAGAGAAGAAAGAAGAAAAGAGGAGAGAACAGGAGGGTGAGCACGTACATCGTGGAGGCTCCCACCGCACTGCTGTTTTGTCAGTAGCAATCACGCACCCAGATTTAGAACCACCAGAAAGCACTGGACCCCTGGGAGAAACTGAGGCCCAGGCCCCACACACTCGCTTAAGCACCCCCTCCCCACTCCGGATCGCCCAAAACTGTTCTGAAGTAGACAGGGAGAATGGAGGCTTGGGTGGGTCATAAGCAAACCCCTGAGGGCCACCTGAGTGCAGCCCGTGCAGACAGCCCCTTCCCCCATCCTATTCCCAGGAAATCACATCTCCCTGCTGTTTGCAGGGCTTTGAAAGAAACAAACACACACGGATTTAAGGACGCACACCCTTCTCGTGATGTTAAAAGCATCCCAGAGTTGGGGAGCAGTGGGTGGCGTGGTGGCCACGTGACAGCAGCTGAGGAAGGCCGACGGCGTGCCCCGCCGGGTGCCTACCTGGGACGTGGAAGTGGCGAGGAGCCTGCTGGTAGGTGGAGGAGGGAGGCTTGCTGTCTGAGAGCACGGAGAGGCTGGGAGTGCTCCGGCCACTTTCACTACCTCCAGACGGAAGGGCAGGGACAGCAGACACAGGAAAGGAAGAGCAGAGTAGAGGATTTCAAGCAGGAACGCGTATCACAGCCAGCTCCATCTCTCTCACCTGGTGGAGCAGTCCAAACCCTCTGCCCCAGGGAGTACGGGCCCACTGACATTTGGAGACTCGGCCCAGCGACTTGTTAATCCAACCTTTAATTGAATTACGAACAATAGCCCCATGCTAAGAGCAACTGTGCGGAGGGCAGAGGACTTGCTGGCTCCCAGCTGGTCTGGTGGTGGGCCTGGGCCACCTCAGCAGAGCCCTGGTATCCTGGGGGTGCAGATCCATCTGCTATTCCATGCCATGGTTAGTGCTAGAGTCCAGCAAACTGCAAATTTATCAAAACCAAAGCTTCCCTTCCTAATTAGCCTTGCATAGAAAGATGCTGGGTTTTTGTTTGTTAGTTTGTTTGTTGAGAATTCACAAATTGGCACTCAGGATAGGATTAAAGTAGAAAAGTTAGTAAGAAGTGAAAGCCGCTGAGTATAATGCTATCAGTTACAGGAGAATAGGAGAGGACGGTATTCCTAAACAAAGCAAATGGAAACCACCCCCGACCCTGGCTCTTCCCCCGCTCAGAGGCATTCTTTCTGCTTGGCGACCAAGGTTGGATTATCAAAACCGCAAACCTAGAAGCCGAGGTTACCTGGGCGAGCTCCCCTGTCTCCCCACACACACCTGTTTAGGGAATGGTATGATACACAGAATGCAATGGGTACCGAACACTTCTGATGACGAGGTACACAACCCGTTTTAGCAAGACACTCCTGAGGCACAAGTCATCCCCCACACTGGCCCCAGGGGATCCCCCAGGCATTCATGGTGGCTTTGTCAGGGAAAGGGGCACTCTTGACTTAAAAGATCCCCTTTGAGCTGCAGCCATTCAAAGCAGCTGGACCCTCAAGTCTTCCACAGTGGCCAAGAGTCTGGCTGGACCTGTGCGTGTACCAGCCCGGGACTGCAGGTGCGCTCCCGTGGAAGGTGTGGGAGACACTGGCTCAGAGGGAGCTCTGCCTGGGTATGATGAGCTGGGTGCAGCAGGAAGGCACCTAGAAGCAAGGATGGGCTCAGTTCGAGCCCCAACCAGCAGCCCACGCTGGGCCAAGGAGGTCCCCACGGGGGCCTCTGACTCCACCTCTGAGCATTCTCTCCCAGCCGGGCCTGGCCACTAATCTCGCCTGTCAGTGCCCATGGGACTTCAGATAACTGCTTTCCTCTTAGCTCCCTCCCTCCAGAATAGCACGGAACCTTCTGGAGCGCCCAGTGGTCAGCAGGCTCCTGCATCTTCCCATGGTCGCAGAGGCCGCACCTCAGGGAGAACAGATCCCCATGCAAGGAAGAGAGACTACAGCTGTCAATCTTTTGCCGACTGTGACGAGATCCATCCCCATGGGCAGCAATGTGACAGAAGCAGAGCCTTTGGCAAATTCAGCTGCGGAACTCCAGATCAGTGGAAGGATGTTTGCCAAAGACGCCATAGCTAAGCTAAGCATGCTTGGGGCCTCCAATGGCTCCTCTTTGCTGCCATCTAGAATTCAGGCCTCTTCTCCACCCCCCACGCCAATAGCTGAGGAGTCGAAGGTCTCATAGCACTCCTGCCCCTCCAGTTCCCAGCCTACAGCAGTGTCCCCCAAATTACGAACAAGAGTCTACGTATGTGTGCACATGATCCTCCGAGGAGGTCCTTGCCTCGCATCAGATGCACAGAGGGGCCCGAGACAAAGCAAAGCTGGACACAGCATGGTGGCCCTGGTGCACGTCATACCCACCACCCAGGGCCTCTAGCACTGGCCACTGAATTCTGCCACCTTGGTCCCCACCGGAGACACAGCTGTCCCTCTCTAGACTTTCCTTCCTCCTGCCGCCCACACCTGGTTTGCCCTTCCCAAGGCTTTCTGTCGATCCAGACCCTCCCCAGGGCTTCTGCCTCTTCTGAAAAACCTTCTAGGAGGACCCAGTCCTGCGCACACCTCTCCCTGCTCTGCACTCACGCTGCTCATTCTCGTGCGGCTTCATAGGAATGAAATGCATGGCCAGCCCTCAGCACCGTCGGAGCACCGTGCCCCTGGGACCTCCGTCATGTCCCCACAGGTGGGCACCATCTTTCCATCTTCTGTGCTGGAGGGCAGGGGACCAGCGTCCTGTGAGACTGCCTCGGTCCCTGCTTGGACCCCAGGCCGCTGACGTTGCCAGGAGTGTGAGGGAACCATACGGGGCCCAGGCGGTGCAGGGGCTTCGGAGAGGCATCAGGACCCTCCGACGGGCTCTGGCACTGCCTCTGACTACTGGGAGGGGCCTTCCAGCAGCCTCGTCCTGGGAGAGTGCCTGGTAGTGGGCGGCGCCCCTGGGCCGTGGGAAGGCAGCTGCTTCTTCATCTCCTCACTTCCATACATTTACATACTGTTTTATTTTAGGGCAGTTTTAGCTAGTACAGTAGGCCCCTCGTACTCCTACCCTGTTCCCCCACAGTTACCCTACCCCAAGGTGCAGGGGCACTGTGGTGGTGCCTAGATGCCACACTTCGGTAAGCTTCGCCCGCATTTACGACTGCCCTACTGTTCTGGGGCCTCACCAGGACAGCTCCGGGGTCTCCCCAGGACACCAACGCCATTTCGTTCTCAGGTGTCTTTAGGTTCCTCTGGGCTATGACTGTTTCGTAGACTTTCCTCGTTCGCGATGACTTGGGCAGTTGGGAGGCACACCGGTTTTGTAGACTGTCCCTCAACTACGACCTGTCAGATACTTTTCTCATGGTCATATTGGGGTTCTGGGGGCCATCAGATGGCAAAATGGCTATGTGGCTGGACTCCCATGTGGAACTGTGGTTCGAGTCCCAGACCTGGCGACTTGAAACTCATGCCAGGCATGTGTGTGTGTGTGTGTGCCCAAAATCCTGTGAGGAGAATGGAGGAGAAGGGAATGTGGCGTGGACATCCCCCCGGGGGGGTGATTTCTCACTTTCTGTTACTCTGTCTCTCCGGCAAGGGTACATGCCCTAAAGCAAAAACTTCTCAAAATAAAGAAATCCCCCAAAACCCAACTGGAGTTCTGGGACCTAAGAGGGAGCACCGCAGAGGTGGAGTGCGTCCTCATCATGTCGTATGAAGGGCGTCCCCGTCCACGGGGCTTAGCGCTGACCTGACGGCAGCCTTGCTGGCCAGGTCGCGTGGTCAGGCCCCCACTTCCTCTCCCCTCCCTCCCCGCGTGGCCAGCCCCCTGACTTCCTCTCTCCTCCCTCCCCGCTGTCCTCTCTGGAAGGGAGTCGCTGGTGCCGCCAGGAGTGACAGTGACGCTCCTCCTCCCTGAGGGCGAGTAGTGCGTAAGTGGGACCCTTCTCCGTGGGAGATTTGTCTCTCCTGGGCCTTTGTCTCTGGCCCACTACGCTGTGGACTTGTGGGTGCGCACGCTGTGCTCTGGTTTATGACCCAGTACTATGTGACTCATCTGGTTGCTCAGACTGCTCCAGCGGCGGTCCTCAGGAGCTCTCTGCTCTCTCTGAAGTTCCCAAAGTGATGGCCAAGCAGGGCCAGCTCGCAGCCCTGTGCAAGGGCCTGTCAGGACGAGGACCGAGCTGCGTGCAGGTGTACAGGCTGTGCAGCACCTGCCACCCCCCGAGAGCCGCCATGGTGACCACAAGCTGGGCTGCAGAAAGGGCAGGTTCCCTCCTGTGGGGCCTCAGAGCGGGCCCAGGAGCTGAGTGAGGGTGGGCCTAGCTCCTGCGCGAGGGCCCTGGGGTAGAAGTCCCTGGGATCTGGGCCAGGCGCATCTCTCTGAGCCTCTCAGGGTAATTCTGGGTACGCCCAAGGTCACAGAGGCCATGGAAGTTGGGAAGGGGCAGGGCCCTGGGAGCTGGGCTCCCACGTCTGACACCAGAGAGGAGGGCAGGGGCTTTGTCTGACTTCTGAACAAAGGGCCTTGGTGACCAAAGATCCAGGAAGGAACCAGGGCAGAGTCTGGCACTGAAGATACCAGTCTTGGCCCAGAGCAGGTCACGCAGGGCTGGGTCTCTGACCATGGGGACACCCCTGGGTGGGCCTTGGCAGGGACTGTTCCTGGGCCACACTTCGGTGGGTAGGGTCAGGGCCCCTGCTTTCTATTCTGATTGATTGATTGATTGAGGTATTTTTGTTACAGGGTGTGTGCACTTGCCAGAGAGGACTGAGAGAAGAAAAGTGAGAAATAGTCCCCTGGGGGATGGCCATGCTTCAATCCCTTCTCCTCCATTCTCCTCTTGGGATTTTGGGCATGCACACACGCATGCCTGGCATGACTTTTGAGCCACTGGGTCTAAGATACCAACTGCGGTTGGCCATGTTGGAGTTCAATGTCTTAGCTACCACACAGCCTGCTGGCCTCAGGGCCTCTGCATTCTTTTGTCCTGCAGGGGATCAGAGGAGGGAGAGCGGTGACCTTTCCTCTGCCTCCTTCCTGGGGCCTCACGTGGCTGGGGATGGGGCTGCTCTCACTGACTGGCCTGGGACCAGGGAACTGTAGACCTAGGGCTGCTGCCCGGGGGCCTCCTTGGGCTCAGGGCCCATTCTGGCCTTTCCTTCCCTGGAGTGGTAAGAATTAGAGAGTGGATACCCAGAAGGGGGCAGAGGACGAGAGAGTGGCAGGGTCTGCATGAGGGGCTGCTCATGGGGGCTTCTGGGGAGTGAGGCCAGGGCAGCAAAGACAGAATATGTCCCTTGGCCTATCCTTGTCCCCGGCCACACACTTTCCAGGGACCCCAAAGGTGTAACAGCTCCATCTAAAGTAGGGCCATGGCAGGCATCCAGGGTTTTCTGACGTTTGAGCAAAGGCACAAGTGGCATCTCCTTGGGCAATGTCCTGTGATCGGCCAAAATAGGTGATTCACTAGGGTTTTAAATACACCATTGCCATGCAACTCCTGTGGACCACGTGGGTGCGGTGACAAGGTCCCCACTGGCCATCTCAGGCTTTGGTTCCCCTCTAGAGAGTCTGTGTACACATCTCAGGGAGACCATGAGCTGCAGGCACAGGCCTGCGAAGGGGTGAGGAGGTGGTTCTGAGGACCAGGGTTGGTTTGGTGAGGCCTCTCTTCTCTGGTTCTGCCCGGCCTGTCCTCCTCCACGGCTTTTCCTCAGAGTGTGCTTGAAGAGGGCGTGAGGTCCTCGGGTTTCCTCCTCTCCTTGTAGAGGACCAATTCTCATAGCAGGGTCCCATCCTAAGGGCTCCTTTCATCTTAGTTATCTGTTAAAAGACTGTCTTCAAATACAGTCACAGTGGAGGTTAGGGCCCCAGTGTAGGAATGTGGGGGGACACTGTTCAGTCCAACTGGCCCTTTCCTGCAGGGATGCATGTCGTGTGTCCAGGCAGGGTGTGGATGGCGGGCAGGTCTGTGTCAGAGAAGGGTCAGGAGTTGGAGTCACACAGGGTGTGAACCTGCCCCTGCATCAGGAGCACTGAGGCTGCCACTGACCGACCTGGGACTGGGGAACTACAGACCTTCACCCCTTAGCGCTGCCCCTGGAAGCTGGCACTCACAGCACCTACCTGCCGCGGGGCTGTCGCAGGAACCAAGGGCGGCGGCTCAGTAAAGGCTCTCAGGGCCAAGCCTGAGGGCAGACCTCAGCAAATCCTCCTCTCTTCTGGCTGCCGCCTTTCGAGCCCACCCCTCCACCTGCTCCGCACCTAACAGGTCAGCTCACTTTCCTTCCAGGGACACGTACACACTGACAAGACACACACAGCGAGGGCACAGGGTGTGAGACACGGGGCTCCAGGAAGCCATGCGGCGGACACGGACAGCGAGCACCCCACAGCTACAGCACTGCGTGCCTTACCTCGGAAGTAGGGGATGTAATGATGTCTGAACACGGATGTAGGGCTTGGGTGTTGGGACAGGGAGAGGCAGCTACTGGTACCAACACTCACAGTACCAGCTACGGGGCAACAGAGAGCAGGTCAGAGTCAACCTGGGCTCGCCGGCCCGGCCACAAAGCCACAAAATATTCCTAGTCCCCACTCTGCTAGGAACATTTTGGTTTCCTCTCTTGAGGATGGACACCTTTTTGAGGCACCTGAAGGGGGTCATGGATATGCTTCAGGTCACTGTCCTCTAGGTATGGAGTGAGGGAACACAGACCTCAGAGGACAAGATGGTGGCCCCCAGGGCTGCTGGGCTGGAGCCTCTGGCTGGGGCCTCTGAGGGTGGGATGGGCCCCAGAGTCATGTCTGCCACTCCATTCTGAGGGTCTTTTGGGGATCAAGGACCCAGATAGAGAGCAGCCAGCCCGAGGTCACCAGGCACCTCCCCTGGCCTTACCAGCCAAGATGCCAGCCGGCTCTCTGGGCTTACCACGGGGCCACGCGTAGCCACCCAGCCTGGGCCATCCTTGTAATGTGCTGGTGGAGCCAGCCAGGGTCCTTCGGAGAAGGCTCAGTAGTCACTGCCCTTCGTCCGCTGATTGGCAGCCTCACCTGCTCGCCCGCTCGCTCACTCGTTCTCATCCGCCTGCTCATCCCTTCACCCACTCGCCTACTCACTCATTCATCCACTCTATTCACTCACTCACTCATTTACTCCACCTCTCACTTGCTCACCGTTCATCGAGCAGGACGGACCAGACACATTACAAGGAGTCAGTGAAGACAACTTTGCAAATGAATGAGTTTTGATCTTTCAAAACCGCCAGAGGAGAGCTGTGGTCCATGGATGTGAGAGTGGGGTCATACAGCAGCTGGCCAAGAAGGAAGTAGCTTGGAAAAAAGCCCTCAAAAAGGCTGTGTCCCTGTGGCTTTGACGCACGTAGTGGGTTAAGGAGCTCCAAAGCTAAGGGAGAGCGATTCGCAGCCGGGCGCCAGGCGGAGAATGAAGTGAACCGTTGGCAGGGAGGACCCTCCACAGGGCTCTCTACTTGCTGGGGAGGGCCTGGTGGTAGCCTCCCTCCTCCCTCTCCCTGGGGTGACCCACACAGCAACAGGTGAGGTGTTCATAGATATGCTGGCTTCGTTTTCTGACTGCTGCCCAGCTTGAGTCTCCCCAGACGCACAGGAGCTGGGAACCGGCTGTCTGATCTCGACCATTTGTGCTGTTTATGTCCCCACATCCCTCACTGCTGAGACCTTAGCTGGAGTCCCGGTGCTCAGAGTGTGCGTCCCAGGATGCTCGCCTCCCAGGATGGCTCCTCCAGCCACAGGGAAGGCAGCTGCCTCTGCAACTTCCCTCCCCACCCCGACACGAGGACTTCTCTCCCTCCACCTCCCACCACTGCAGTCCCAGCCTCTCTGTGTTTCTAGTGGCTTAAGAAACAGGTCACTCTACAAGAGGAAAAGCAAGGAGAAGGAAGTGTCCCAGGGACCCCAGGGCTAAGTACCTGGACGGCTGTAGTGCTGGGGTGACCGTGAAGTGGGGGTGTAGCGTCCGAGGCTGACGGAGCCAGTGGAGCTCGGGCTGGAGGTCCGGCACTGCTTGTAGGACCTGTCGTCCTGGTCTCCCTGGGAGAGAGGACACAGCTTGTGAGCTGAGAGCACTGCCCACCCCTTGCCCACCTGCCTGCCCTCCCACGTGGCAGTGCCCTCCAACACAAGCGGCTGACTCAACGTGGCCCCAGGATGAACCCCTCGCATCTGCCAGGACACACCTGAAGAGCCAGCAGGAGTGGGCACGGTGCCAACATGCCCTTTGACCTGAGCATGGTCCCTGTACCCACCAGGTACCTGTCTCCTCTTTCTGTCTGCCCCTCCTACCGGCTGAGGCTTCACAGAGGCGGGAGAAGAACCTGGTTCCACCTTCACTCTCCAGTTCCCCTCCCTCCTGACACTTCCCAGCACCCAGGGCTCCCCGAAGCACAGTGAGGACCACTGGGACTCCCAGTCCTGGCAGGAGTGCCCTGTGTGTGATCGAGGACTCTAGCTCTGGAGGTACATGGGGAGGTAGGCCCAGCTGAGTCAGACCTGCAGCACTGACAGCAGAGACCGCGACCAAGCAGGGATGGGCAACTGTCTGGTGCGGGTCGAGTGGTGGCAGGTGGCATGAGATGGCAGAGCAGCATGGCATGAAGGGGGGCAGGCTGCCCAGCCTCCTCAGCTTGGCACCTAAGACCAGTCCAGGGTCCTGCTGTGCGGGGACACTGCTGCTTTGCCTCCCAGGTCAGTGCTGGGCATAAGCAGGGGGAGTCCTGGCCTGCCTTCATGACTCCCTGACCTGTCTGAACTGTCCGTCCACTCCTAAGGGGCCTGCAGCCTGCCTTGTGCACCCCTCCATGCTGTCTCAGGCCAGCCCTCCTGTCACACTCCTACCTGTGCTTCCCCCTGGGCTCTTCCAGGGCTAGCCCACCCCACAGCCATGGCACTCTCCCTCCTGGGCCAGGAGAGCCCTCTGTCTCCTCTCTACCTCTGGGCATCCTCTGAGCAGCCCTGACACCTGATGTACACCTTCCAGGTGCCCTGTCTCCCCACCCAGCCCGCACACAGGGCTCGCCAGCTGCCTGTGGGGTTACAAGTTTAATGTGAGCCTTTGGTTGTCACATCCCTGGGCCCAAGGGTTTGCTGCCCAAATCTTACTGGTTCTGTGGCAGGGCAAGTTCTTCCCAACAGAACAGCATCATCAGGGCCAAAAGAGGGCCATGTTCTTCCCACTGGTCCCCAGCACTATTTCTAAGGGCAGAGCTTGAGTCAAGGGGAGAAACTGGGCAGGGGAGGCTGCAGAAGATGCTGGTTCTCTGAGGTGTAAGGAGCAAGGGGAGGGCCTTGGCCTGCAGGAGAAGGAGCCGAGCTCTTTGGAACCACTCCTGAGGACTGAACTGGGAAATCCAGCTCGGGAGGTGGGTGGGATGGGGTGGGCAGGAAGCAAGCCGATCCTGGGGACACAGTGGCCACCTCCAGACCTGTGCATGCTGGCACGGCTGTGGCACCTCCCTGACCAGTACGTGTGCACTTGTCTGTCCAGCTTCGGGGGAAGGGCTCACAGCTCGAGAGTAGGCTTTGCAAGGAAACCAGGCTTTTACTAAGAGCCTCATCTTAATCTCATCTATGGGTGGAGGCCACCTCCTTCCCTTGTGGGTTCCCTGTGGAGGTAAATGAGGTGATGCCAGAATGCCCGGTGCCAAGCCTGGATGGCCAAAGTCACCCGTGTGTAGGGATCACTAATCCAGTCGCTTCAGGAGCGCCCATGATACTGACAGCCAGTGCACGGCTTCTCGGCAGTGGGCACCTGCAGGGGTGAGCACGGGCTCTGAGCCAGTGGCCGGGCTGGAACTCTCTTTGCCCCTTTCTATGGCTTCCGAGTCCAGAAAGGTTATTTAAGTTCCTGTGCATGAGTTTACTGCAGGAAAACCACAGGATTTCACTCCGAGGGCCATCGTGGGGCGAATGAATTCGTGCGTACCCGACGCTCACAGCAGCAGTGAGTGCCGAGAGCACGCTCGGGTGCAGCTGCTGTCACCGTTCTTCAGGCTGCAACGGCCTGCCTGGCCTTGTACGGACCAGAGAAGGGACAGCTTAGAGGACAGCTACGGGGCCAGGAGAGTGGTGGTTAAGGCACTAGATTCCCACAGGGCGGTCTGGACCTGGAGGCTTGAAAATCATGCCAAGTGCATGTGTGCGTGCAAGCAGATGGAGAAGGGATGGCAGCGTGGCTGTCTCCCCTGGGGGCTGATTTCTCACGTTCCCTCTCTCTGTCTCTCTCTGTTAAGTGCATGCGCTCTATGGCAAAACCTAAAAAGAAAACAAAAAGGCAGCTCCCGATTTCACCAAGTTTAAGAAACAAGGGAAAACCCAAACTAGACTGCTAATAATGAAGGCTACTTGATAGGGACACTCAGAGTGCTTGTCTGGGAGGCCCGGGCGTTTCCCACAGACCTTGCTCAGAGGGGCATGCATGGACCCAGACCAACCCAGACTCCTGAATCTTTCTCCCATGACCCAGACACAATCTGCTCAGGGGACACCTGGGGGCCAGCACCCACACCTGGGGGCCAGCAGACACAGGAGGGGAGCATGCAGATGAGACACGATTATAAAGATAACCAGCACCAAGGAGGACCCCCGAGCGGCCAAGGCCCTTGCTGAGGGCCGCTGGGTGGTTATCTTTATAACCCGCGGCAGCACCGTGAGCAAACGGGAGGCAGGTAGGACGGCGGGTGGTTACCTCAGTCGGCGTGGGCGAGAGCAACTGAGGCGACTGTGGATACAACACACAAAGTGGCCTGTTAGTGCCGCAGCAATCGGCGGGGACGTTGGGGTAGGGGACAGTTTAGTAATTGGTGGGTGCCACAGGGTGTAGACAGTCACACGGTGGGCCCCGACCCTTCAAACAGGCAAAGAACCCCACCACGAGACACAAAACGGGGACTCTAAAGCCTTCTTTTTGGAGAAATCTGGTCAATGGCTTGCAGAAAAGAAGAGGTTCCCAGGAAACTAATATTATGCCGATGAGGCCAGGCAGGACTTATCCCCATCCTGGCCTGTCCTCCGGGCCCTGATCTTTCCCGTGAAGACGTAATTTTCCAAGAGGAAGCCTGTTGGTTCGGGGCATGGGCTGCAGCAGCCTGTGAGTGTATCGCCCTGGTTTCCTCTGGAAAAGAAGGAAGGGGCCCAGCAGAGAGAGGGTGATTTGGAGCCTCTCGGTTCAGGGTTAGGCCTGGCTCTGCCGGTGGGGACATGGGGGACTTGGGGAATGACTGACCAGCCTCCCCAGCCAGGTGCCTGCTTTGGAGCAGACAAGCAACCCCAAGCCCTCCACTTCCCACCACTCCTCTGCCCCCTTGATGATCCCAGACAGGTCCTTGGGTCAGGAACCAGGCACGGCTCCCACCAGGCCTGCCATGGAGGCGTGTGGCCTCAGGGGGCTGTGAGAAATCTCAGAGAAGACGGCGAAGCACCCTGTGCTCATGTGCCACTCGATGCCGTGCTCTGTCCATGTGCTTTCTGGCACGTGTGACCCGTGGGAGCAGGGTGGAGGGTGACAATGGCCACAGCCACGCACATCACCTCTGCATGCACATGACCCTCTGCTGCAAGGCCCTTGCTGCATGGCTTCCCTGAGCTCATGTGGGGTACATGAGCTCAAGTCAGAAAGGGGACGCCTGACATCCCAGGACTGGGAGGGATAGAGCAGAGCCTCGAATTCAGTCTCTAGACTTAATCCTGCATCTTAGAGAAAGCATGAAGAAGAGCTAAGAAAACAGCCAGCCTGTGTTCTTTGGGGGTTAAAAAGGCCTGGATTTAGGTCTGGGCTCTGCTGCTTACTGCCTGGAGAGACAGCCGAGCCGCTTGGCCTCACTGACTCTCCAGTGCTGGGCTTGGCTCTGACCAGGGCTGGATGATGAAACCCACGCCTGGCCCAGGCAGCTGACGGGTAGCTGCAGGTGGGATGCCCTGTCCTCCCACCAGCCTTCCACAGGTACCCGTCCTCAGGTCCCTGTTTACCTGCAGGGGCAGAAGCTAGCCCGGAGGGACACCTGACCCCCCCCTAGAGCTCTTCCACCCTCCCCGCATGGCCCTTGAGCTCCATGTTGGCAGCTGTGACTCAAACCCCTTGTCACCCAGATCAAGCGTGGCACACCTGGAGTCTCAGCCTCGGGTCCCCAAAAGCCTTGCTGGAGTCCCCAGATGAGAAGGCCCAAGGGAAACGAGTTGGAAAAGGCCAAGTTGTCCTACCCTAGGTAAGCACCCATGCCTGGACCCCCACGCAAACAGCACATGCCCTCAGGCCCACAGCCTGACAAACACGGCTTTTCCTGTCCGGGCAGCCACTCACACCGAAATCACAAAGCTACAAAAGAAAGCCAAACGGTGAGCTCCCCATTACGTGGAGAAGAGCAGGCCTGAGTATGAAGTCCCTGAGTAATACGGGCATTGTGCACAGGGTCGCCGTGACAGAAATACTTTGTGCTGCAGCTAGGTGGGTGGGACTGGCTCAGGGGATTCAGGGACAGAAGGGCACACCGCAGCCTGGGCGGCATGTGGCTAGGATAGGAACAGGATAAATTTGGTGTATTATGGAAATAATCTAAGACTTAAGAAAATTGAGAGAGGGGCTAGCCCTGTAGCACAATGGTTAAGCACTGTGCATTGGGAGCCAGATCCATATGGCTGACTGTGGTTCAAATCCCAGCCCTGGCAGCTTTGACAAGCCAGGTGCATGTACATGTGTGCTCAAATCCTGATGAGATGGAGTAACTGGGGAAAAGGGATTGCAACGTGACTGCACCCCGCGGGTGGAGGGGTGCTCTCTCTCTCTCTCTCTCTCTCTCTCTGGCAGTGTACTCCTCTCACGATTAAAAAAAAGAAGCGAAAATGAAGAGATACTCCATTTCCTTTTATCATTTTCTCCTAAAAACCAGCTCACTTCCTGCTTCCTGCTCTATTTAACAAGGATTTTCAAGACCTGCTCCTCCAGGGAGGGGGCTGTCGGGGGCCTGAGCAGACCCGCAGCTGCTGAGAAGGAGGCGCAGGCTGTCTGGAGAGCACAGCGAAGGCTGTGTGGAGGAGCAGAGAGGCCAGAAGTAGGCTCTGAGCAGGGGGGACACACTGGGACGTCACCCTCCAGACCGTCCTCGTGGGGGTGGGGTGTCCAGGCCACACAGGACGGGGACCGTACCTCGCCATAGCTCTGCCTGTCCCCTGTGGAGTGGCTGATGTAGGGGGAGTAGGAGATCATGTCGGGGCGGTCGATGTTGTAGATTGCCTTGTTTTTGGGCAGCGCGGCCAGGTCCCGGTAGTCCAGGATCTCATCGCCGAGCTTGGCCTGAGAGGAGAGAAAGCAGACGAGGACATGGTGAGACCCACATCCCGGAGAGCAGCCGCTCCAGAGCCAGGGGCAGCCGTGGCTACAGGGGAGGCGGGCAGCAGGAGTCACAGGGTGCCGTGGTGCAGGCTGAGTGCTCCCAGCTCCTGACCAGAGGGGACGGGCTCCAGAGCAGGCCAGCGTGGGGCCCGCAGCCAGCAGAGCCGCGTGGCCTTGAGGAAGCCTCTCCTCTGTTACTCTCAGTTTCCTTCTCTACAAAGTTGGGGAAATGATTGCAAAGAATGGCTCCAGGACTGAAGACGCTGTGCCTGTCACGAGGCCTAGATCACAGGACTGTCTATGGCCTAACACATAGCACACACACATGTACCACACGCATGACATGCATGTATGCACACACATCCACACCCACGCCCACACAGGCACACACGCATGCAAGTGCATGCACAGTGTACACATTTATGCATGCACATATATATTCACACATAGAGAATATGCCTACCTGAGACGGTGGAGATATAGACACTTCACCCTCACATCTCTCCACACCCAAACACTAGTGCACGCATGTATGCACACTCATGCTCCTATACCCCAACACCAGGGCAGTCATGCCCATGCCCACACACGGCTGCCCGTACACACTTACAACACACTTCCACACACCGTCACAACACTGGCACTCCCAGACTTGCTCCCACAACCTGTGTAAGCATGTACCCACACATGCACATGTAGTTGCCTCACCACAGGAAGTACACCCATGTCCACACGGCCGCATACAGCACACACACACACTGTATGCACACACGCTGAGCACTGAGCACTTACAATACCGCAGCCAAGTGCCTGACCTTCAACTGGCAGCTGGGATATGACCTTTCAGTGGGGTCTAGGATCGCCCCTGGCCCGCAGAGGCTGCTCCCTCATGCTGGCTGAACAAACACCTGCTCAGGTGAGGGCTCTGAGACCCTGCCTTCCCGGCTTCATCCCCTCGCTTGCAGGTTAGCTCTGCTGTCCGGGCCTCGCCCCTTCTCCCTGGCTCTGGGAACTCCTGGGGGGCTGCCTGGGGCACTTTCTGGCTCTGGTCTTATTGCCCACACTTAGTTACAGCAGCCTGCTCTCCTGCAGGGACTCCTTCAGCCATGCTCTCACTCTTGACACCACAAGTTTGCAGGCTGTGGGTCACAGTCGCAGCCTCCACTCCAATTTTGCTGTGTTCTCTGGGGTCCAGCAGCCGCCATCCCACCTCTTCCAGAAAGCCTTCCCTGACCACCAGACTCAGGGCTCTCTCAAGAAGTTGAGCCTCGGGGTGAACCCTGACAGGACATTTACTTATAGAGCTCTGGTGTCTCGGACCTCTGGATGTCCTCTTTGGAGTGTTCAAAAGACCTGGGATCAAAACCTGAGCCTGCCATCTGTAACCCTGACGGCCAGTCCCCTGGCATAGTTCTCACTGGTGCCCTCTGCCTTCAGGGATGTCGGACCTGAGGCCTTGTGCATGTGTGTGTGCATGTGTGTGTGTGTATGGGGGGTGGTCCTTGTTTGTCCTGGTCTCCTGCTCACTCCATTCCATGCTATTTACCACCTTGATCTACTTACAACTCCTCTCACTCAGAACCGCGGGTTTGCATATGCCGTTCCCTCTCCAGGACACACCCTACTTCCTTCCCTCCTTTTCCTCTTTTTTTTTTTTTTTCAAATAATTTTGCTATAGTGCACATACACTCACCAGAGAGAGAGAGATACAGAGACAGTGACCCTCCCACCCCCAGGATGGCCAGGCTGCAATCCCTTCTCCAGGATTCATCACTGAGTTCCTCGCCCTCACTCCAAGCCTGCAGAATTGAATGCAAATTAACTGAGCTAAAGTCAGGTGAAGTCTCTGGGTCTTGTTCTCTCAGTGAGTTCCTGGAGAGGCCTGCATTTCGCAGGTCACTGTGGAGGCTGCACCCTCCCTTCCCCACCTTTCCTCTCCCTGGAACTACAGCCAGCATCTCAGCTCAGCCACGCGGGGCCAGGAGGTCTCCCTGCTCTGGGTTAGTCCTCGGGCTTCCCTGAAGAAGCCAGCCCGATAGTATCGATCAGAGGGCAGCCTCTCAGTGCCACAAGCCTGCAGATCAGAATGACCTCGGACAGGTTGCTCAGTGGCCTTACAGATGCCTGCTCTCCCACCCCAAGTCCCAGGCAGCTGCTGTGACAATGGCCTACGCTGTCTAACTGGTGGAAGGCCACTAGGGTATGTAGACATGCCAGTGTTTTATCTTTTGGTTTTCTTTCTCCTTGCTTTCTTTTTCTGAAGGCCACTAGGGTATGTAGACATGCCAGTGCTCTATCTTTTGGTTTTCTTCCTCCTTGCTTTCTTTTTCTTTTTTAGCCCCTTTTCTTATTCCCCATACTTCATCCAGCATAATAAATAACAAGGTGACTGCATACAACATTATAATTACAATGTAATCCCGTCAGTAATGATGTATAATGTAATAAAACTGCTTTTATACTATGCCGACTCACCGCTTTCTTGCCATGGCAAAAAAGAAAAAAAAAAGTCACAAACAGAATGTTCATTGTGACCTTACACTATTAAAAATAATCGCACACATGCAGAAAAGACACCTAAAAGGTGCACTCCACACCACGAGCAGAGGCAACTCCGGTGGCAGGATGATAAACGACTTTCATTTTCTCTTTTGTGCTGATGGCTGCTTGTGTAGAGCAACTGTGAGTTACTTTTGTACCAAGGGAAAAAGGCAGTAAAAGAGGTCATTTAAAAAGCCCCTACTATGTGTGCATTTTACTTCTGACACTAAGATGGACAAGGCAGGGCCTCTGAGCAGCAGGGACTCACAGCCCACTGGACAACATCTGTCCCATCCCTGCACACTGGGTGTTTGGAGGGCCAACGTTTTCTGGACTGGGTGGAAGGAAAGAAGGAGACACTGCCTCTGACATTCACCATTCCACAGCCGGGGCTGCCAGGAGGCTGGTGTCCAGGAAAGCACCCTGAGGTGGGCACGAAATGGGCTCGCCTCCGTGGCCATGGGTGTGCACAGCACTGAGCGCAGGGTCAGGTGCAGAGCGGCTAGCAGCCATTACCAGCGGGGCAGAGTGCTGCATCAGGTCAGCTCTCCTGGGGAAAGAAGTCGAGGGTGGGCACTGCTGACTGCAAGCCACACCAGCCCTGACTTGCGAGAGAGCCAGGGGGCTCTGGCCTCTGGAGGAGATGTGTGTCCTTGGATGGTGGCTCTGTTCAGTAGAGGCCATGCAGCACATACAAGGCTGTGTGCCTCTCTGAGCCTCGCTGATGTGGCTGTGGTGATGCCCACACTGCTGGGCAGCACTGAGGGCCAGACCTGCCACTCTGGCATTCTCCACTGTGTCAATCTAAGAACTGAAGTTTGGACTCAGGAGACTGGATTCAACTGATTTGTCCTGAGCCTTCTGAGCAGGACGTCTGTCCGAGACCCAGTGCACTGGGTGAGCTGCCCTCACCAGTCGGAAGCACTGCAGCTGCCAGGCAAGCTCCTTCCTCTGACGTCCTGCGTTATTTCTTGGCATGTGTGAGTGTGTGTGCATGTACCTGAAACGAGTACGTGGCGTCTGCGGCCTCTGCCCCAGTCCCACCCATGGACAGAAGGGCCCTGTGCACAGGGAGGCTGTCTGGCCTGCTGCGTTCCCAGGGCCCACTGTAGGTCTTGGCGCTCTGCTGTGCTTTTAACTGCCTAAAGGAAGAAGAAAGAATCCTCCATAGCTGTTTTCAGCACTGATCAGTGGAGTTCCCTGGAAAAAGCCCAAGCATGTGGTCCCTGGGTTCAAAGCCCAGCTCTGTTATTACTGTTGACAAGGCCTTAAAAGTAATGCCATGACAAAGAGGCTCTTCTCACTGCATGGTCACATGGTCACTAGAACCCAGGCTCTCAACCAATGCCAGTTTGTTCAAAAAGTAGTAGCTGGTGTTAATGAGCAGTTATTGTGCCATCACTGCACTGTCACCACGCCAGTGTACACCTCACCACCACATTCCTGTGTCCCCATGTCACACTCACGGCCAGCACAGCGGCTACCATCTACTGAACGCTCGCCAAGTGCCAGGCCCTGTGCTAAGCTCTTTGCAAACTTCATATTTAAATAGCAGTCGTGAAGATTATTATTCAAAATGACGATGATGGTATTATCAGCTGAATCCCATCTCCCCCAAATTCATATGTTGAAGTCCCGACCCCAGTGAGTCCGTCGCATAGGTCCTAATCCAATACGACTGATGTCCTTAGAAGAAATCAGGGTGCAGACACACACACAGGGGAGGCCATGTGATGACATGGGGAGAAGGTCCCCCCGTGCCAGCCAAGGAGAGAGGCCGCAGGAGGGACCAGCCTTCACCTTGGTATCTGCTCTCCCAACGCCACCTCTGCCATCTACAGCCCTTCACTGCGGCAGCTCCAGCACACCAGCCCGGTCAGCGGTGAGAGTAATGGCAGAAGCAGATTCCTGGGGCCTTCCTCTGGGCTGAGAATCTCACGCCCAATACTCCCTCCATGAGCCCTGGACAGCAGGTTGGGGTCTCTCCATCTTACAGGTGATCTTCCAGAGGTTCAGAGAGGGCGATGCCTGGCCAAGGGCACACAGCTGTCCTGGTGACTTTGCACTACCATTCTAGGCCTCAGGTGTGCATCCCGAAGGGCCATAGTGCTAGTCACCTTCCAGGCCAGTGACAGCTCGCATTAACCCACGGACTACAACACTTGTCCGGATTAAGGTCAGAATGACCCTGCGCCCAACTGTCGTGAGAATGGAGGGCTGAAAGAAGTGCAGAGGGTAGCTAACCCAATCCCCACTGTGCTGCAGGGGACACCTGACTCAGGCTTGGCGGTGTCGGGGGAATGGGAGAAGAGCCTTCGCTGCAGGTCACTGGCTGTGCTGAGCCTACACCTGGCTCAGGAGCCCAGGCACATGGCCCTCACCTTGCACTTCAGGGCTCTTCCCAGATGACGCATGTTGGTACTTAAACAAGTAACATTGGCAGATAATAATAATCCCCCATCTCTAACCCTACTAGCCGGCAGAAATTGCTGTTAACTTGTGTCAATATTTCCTGTCTCTGTCATACTTGATGCACACGCACACACGGGCATGCATGCATGCACACGTTCTTTAATACAATGGGATCACGTAGTATGCATCTTCCCCCAATCCCACTAGGGGCTGGGCAAGTCCTGTCAGCCATCGATGTGATGCTGTTTGTGCGCACCGCTTCGTGCTCTGCCACCAGGTCATTGGGGCTGTGCTCCCAGGGGACCAGCACGGCAGACAGATGCATGCACATTTCATAAGGTCCACACCGACCTCCTCTCCAGAGGAGAACGCCGACCCGACAGGGGACCAGCACGGCAGACAGATGCATGCACGTTTCATAAGGTCCACACCGACCTCTCCAGAGGAGAACGCCGACCCGATGGCTGACACCCCAGCCGACACGCCTCAGCAGCCTCTCAAGCGGTGAGGGGCTGGCTCACCAGTGGCCCCGACCCCCGCCCCCTTACTGTCTGCCATGCTTGCTTTCCAGAGGAAGACCAGACTCACATAAATTACGCGGCTCGGAGACCCCGAGGTGCTGGAAGCGGGGACAGAGATGATGCTTTCTGAGGAAGTCCGGGTTTCCTGGACAAGGAGGAGAGAGGGGAGGCTGGAGACAGCACCAACAGCTGCAGGTCCTGCGTCAGCTGGAGTGCCAGCTCACGAGGTCTGCTTTTAATTTTCTTCGCTGCGGGTTGGAGAATCCTTAGACTAAACACAGAGGCTTGATGAACACTGGAAAGCTGTCATCAGACAGACACAGTGTGGGAGACACGCAAAGCAGCACCCCACGGCCACTAGCTGGACATCCTGCGACGAGCACGAGCCCCCAGTCGCGGGCCGATCTGCTTCTTGGGATGAGAGAGCAATGCATGTTTGCCTGCGTCCAGGCAAAGGCCTCTCACCCACAACCTAGGTGCTCGGATGAATCGCTTTCCACCCAGCATGTTCCACCTGCCTAGACCTCCGTGGGGACCACTCCTGGTTGTCAGATGTGGGACAGTCTCTGTCACCCTAAAGACTGGCTGGACCCCACTGCTCTGCCCTCCCCACCCCTACACCCCTTTGGCATCAGGAGTACTTGCTCCCATCTCTCACAAACGTGGAAGGCAGCCGACCTCTGCAGCACCCACCCCACTTGCTGTACTTGGCATCCAACCCACTGCAGGACAGGGCCCCCTCCACTAGGCGGCGCCAGGCACCCTCTCCTGGCCCAGCCGCCACCCCTGCCTGGCTTTCCCACGCCTCCTACTCACCCTGTCTGAGAGGAGCCCATCTCCCTAGGGCCTCCCCAAGCGTTCAGGAACCAAGGCCTCCTCCTCCCCACAGCCCCCGCATCCTCTCTGTCCTCCTCGACGCTCCCCATCTGCTGCTACTGCTGTCTCCTCTCGTGTTCTAAGCGGAACCTTTCCTCTGGCCCACCCGGCCTCATAATTCCGTCCAGCCCATCTCAGCAGTCCACACCCGCTGCAGTGGAGGCCAGCAGCCTGGGAGGTGCCGGTAAGAGGGCAGATTGTGTCCCTCCCCCACAATTCCTGCACTGTGCCTGGAGACAGGGTCTTTTAAAGAGATAGCAGAAAATGGGGTCACGAGGTGGGCCCTGGCCCAGTAGGACTGGTGTTCTTATTAGAGGAGAGGTGAACAGACACGCATGGAGCAGTGACCATGGGAGGCTCAGGGAGCAGATGCCATCCACGAGCCCAGAAGAGAGGCCTCAGGAGACCCCAACCCTGCTGTCCCCGATTGTTGATGTCCAGGCTCCAGGACTGTGAGAGGCAGATTTCTGTCGTCTGAGCTCCCTGCTCTGTGGCACTGCGTACAGCAGCCCTAGGGACTGACAGGCAGCGCGTCCTGAGCCTCCTGTCCCCGTGGTTGGCCAACAGGGGTGACCACCAGCCTCTCCTACACTCAGCACAGCAGCGAGGATGGGGACAACACCAGGACCGGATGTGGGCCAACAGGACAGTGGGAGGGACAAACCTGTAAGGCATGGGGGGTGGCGCCCGGGCAGACCTGATTGCAAATTTGGTTCTGCATCTAGAAGGAAAGAGAAGAGGGAGAGGGCCGGCTGCCATTCGCTGTCTCGTCACTCACTCACTCATACCCCTGTCCACACCTCGGCTATTTCCCCCATCTGAGGGCTGAGCTCAGCCTCCTCTCCCTCTTCCTCCTCCAGGCCTGCCCTGCACTGCATTCCAGAGGGGTCAGCTCAAGGGTCTGCCTGTGTCCTAGGACCATGGCCTTCCAAAGGCTAGCAGGGGCTGGGGCCATCACACTCAACTGATTCCCCTGGTCACCCCGAGGCATGGCATGATGCTGCGTGCTGCTTGCAAAGAAGGTGCCCCACTTTAAGGGTCTACTAGCCCCACTGTTTCGGCGGCCAGGTTATATATTTTCACTGGCCCCAAAGGACAAGTGCGTATAACTTATACATTAAAAACACCCTTTGAGGGCCAGCAGGCGGCACAGTGGTTAAGGTGCTGGACTCCCAAGGGGTCGACCATGGTTCAAATCCCAGACCAGGAAGCTTGAAACACACTAGATGTGTGCATGTGGGTGCCTACAATCCTAAGAGAAGAATAGAGAAGAAAGGATTGCGGTATGGCCATCCCCCCTTGGAGGGGCAGTGATTTCTTGCTTTGTGTCTCTGTCTTTCTCTGTCTTTCCAGTAAGTGCATATGCCCTATAGCAAAAATCTCTCTCTCAAATAAAACCAAAAACACCTTTTGAGTCTCTTCCTCTTCTTCCTGAAGGGGCTTCCCATTTCTGAGGACTAGACCAGAGATAAGGCATGAGAGGCACTCTGCACTGGTAAATCCTTTTATCTTTAAAACATTGCTAGAGGACAGGAATACTTGTCAGAGACAGAGAGAGGGAGCCCTAGGGAGAAAGCACCCCCTAGTAGGGTGTGGTCACACTGCAAACCTTTCATTTCTCCATCTTCAAGGGACCTTTAGGCACATCCACGCATGCACATCCTCCCAGTGTGTTTTCCACAGGGCCAGTCCCAGGATTTGAACCGGGGTTGGCCATGTGAGATCCAGCTCCCTTAACCATGGCTCCTTTAGCCAGCCATGGGCTGGCCCTCCTTTCACTATTATTCCAACTCAAGCTGGGCTTGTGAGATGACCTCGGCCAGAGGGTCCCCTTCTTTGCAAAGCAAACTAATGATTTAAGAGAGCACTTTAAGAGAGAAGTTCCTCAGGCCCACAGGTGGTTATTCACAGG